AAGGGACAAGGGGAAAATAATCTCGTATCAGTTTTTATACTGTGCTGGATGGCAGCCTGTGCTCTCACTGCAGGTCACACAAGGACTCCTTCCCAATGAAACCCTCTCAACACCACCTTTTGCTGCCTGTGACACTTCGCTTGGCCAGATTTCCCCTGGAGAGATGCTGATCCTGCTGCGAGTGCGAGGGTGATGCTGGATCACAGGGAAGCAGTGATTCTCCCCCTCAGCCATGGCAGCACCGTGTGCCCCATGGGACAAACCAGCTGCTTCGTTTTCTTGACAGCTTCCCATTACAGGGAATTCGAAGTGGGAAGGAGAGCAGATCCATCCTGCCACAGAAGAACTGCCAGCTGCTCTGGGGAGTGCAGGCTGCCCTGCCAAGCACTTAAACTAGCCCCAAAATGGTGCTTTTGCAAAGCAGCAACCCTAAAACCACATCATGAATCAGCTCATGGAGAGCAACCACCCCCAATGCCTGCATCCTAACCCTGCAACGATGGAGCATTGCACAAGCTGCCCCCTCCTCCCAGGGTCTCCTGAGGATCCAGACTGCATCCATCCTGCCTTATGCTTTGCTGAGCCACAGCCAAGCTCTGATTCCCTGCAGTCTGCCAGGAGCCTAACGCACCCATGGGGCCAGGTGCTTGGAGCAGGTATTGAATGAAGCCTGGTAACTGCCTGATGTGCTGCAGGGACGGCTCCTGGGCTGGCAGGACCTTTGGGGAAGGGCTGGGAAGCGCAGGCGGATGCAGAGGCGGGATGCTCCAGGACCGGCACACTCTGAGGTCATGGCCGGGCCAAGTGGAGGTCAGATCCTTTATCAGACCAATGGACAGAGTTGGAATGAATGACACATTTTGGGTGTGCAGGCATTCCTAGGCCCAAGAGCACATCTGTGTTCTCCTAAAGGTATTAGGCTAATAAAAGACATTACCTCTGCATGCAGACTTCACCACCCTTAAAAAGTACCAGACGCTGCAGTGCTCACTGATGGCAAAGCCCACGTGTGACCCTGCAAGTGCAGCATCAGGACTGCTGGCACCCAAGCTGCCTCTGGCCTCCCCTCTTTCCAGATCCCTGTATGAGGCTGGATGGATCAAGTAGCATGTGCATGGGAAGCCTGTTGCTTTAGTTTACCTGCTCCCAGGCTACAGCATCAGCCCCGTCCTCTCCTCCTCCTCTGCAGAGGTTCCAAGCAAAGCAAATGCTTGAGGAACCAAGCTAGATGCCCCATCTACACCTCCACCCCAAGGCCTCATGCACCAGGTTGTGCTTTCAGCCAGTGAGAGCTAATAAACCACCATAACATGTGCTGCTTCACACCTCACCAGCCAGCCGGGCCAGAGGACCACACCATTCCTGGCCTCTCTACCTGGGGATACTCCCACTCACTCAAGCGGGCTCCCATACCCCCACTCAGCCATCAGGCACAGCATCCCCATCCCAGGTACCACGCATAGCCTCCTTCTCTCCCAGCCTTGATCCCACTCTCCATCATAAATCCATGAGGCCAGCGCAGCCAAGGGATGAATCCAGGCTGCTGGAGCACACACAAAATGGCCTGAGCTCTATGTTTATACTTCAGGCACTGACAGCATTTTGCAGCCATATTTCAGGACTGTGCTGTTGACACTTTCTAACACATCCCTTTTCTTCACGCTGGTAACATCGCCCCAGGCTCCAAGCCCTGCAGGGCTGTATAAGGCTGTGAAGAAGCAAACAGTGGTCAGGAAGGGGGATACTCAGTGAGATGCTGACAAGTAGCTGAAAAGCATTTGGGTTTTGCCGAGGCCAAGGCGCAGGAAGCAGAGCCAAGACAGCAGCATGCTACCCGGGAGCAGCAGGGACACCGAGGGGCTGCCATCCTTCCAGACCATATGCAGAGCCATTGGACAAGATCCACATCTCCACATGCAGCGGAAGGAGAAGAGAAGGACACCCCTCGCTGTACATCCAACCCTCAACATGCCCAGAGACAGAAAGAAAACACTTCTTCCTTGCTTTGCATCAGTGATGAGATTTCCAAGATACTTTGGGTTCCCTGGCAGAAGTGGGACAACAGGGGAGAGAGCCCCTGAGAGAGAGTCTTGGTCTCTCCAAGACAACCTCCATCTCTATGGCTTTGAACCAAACCAGCAGCAGGGCTGAACTCCAGGCATTAATACCAGTGCAGCTCCTCCTAGGATAGCTACAGTGAGGATCTCTTGACCTTCCCAAATCCTTCCAGGAAGGTAGCACCAAGGGCAAGGGCTGCAGCAAGGTCCTGCTGCTTTTGGGAAGGACACAGCACCAAGGCGCTCCCAACCCCAGCCTCCTTGCCAACCACCGGCAGTCACGTGTGGGATTTACAGCTCAATATTGATTCGTCTTTGCAGGCTCTGCCATTCCAGTCGGTGGCTTTTGCAGGAAAACAACATGAATCATAAGCTACAGACCGCCCTCTCCCCACGTCCGTGCTGTGTGACTCACCCAGCCCTTCCAGGGGTCCTGGTTTGAGGGCTGCCTGCTCCACTGCACCCAGTGATGGGCACAGAACAGGGGTGCAGGAGCCACCATCTCCCATGGACAGCTGGGGATGGGGTCCTGAGTTTTTATGAGGTGGTCTCCAAGAAAGCAGCATCATGCTTTCCCTCCATCCAAGTCCTCCTTCCCCTGTCTCAGGCTACAAAGGCATCAGCACACTCGTGATGATGGCACACTGCAAAATGCACAAAGCAATGCCAGCACCTCGGCCAAAAACACACAAGGAAGTCAAGGGCAGTCATAGACTTGCAGAATGGTTTGGGCTGGAAGGGACCTTTGAAGGTCGCCTGGTCCAACCCCTTAAAATGAGCAGGACATCTTCAACTAGACCAGGCTGACCAGAACCACATCCAGCCTGGCCTTGAATGTCTCCAATCCTGAAGTCCTAAAGCACCTTCTAGAGCAGGGCAGGAAACATCAGTGAGATGATGAATCCCAGTCCTCTGTGGCCACGAAGCAACCGCAAGATATAAGAGCTTAATATCTTGCTTCTCTCTCTGTCCTAACCTCATTCTAGCGGGCTCGACCTCTACAACCAAAACTAAAACCCAACTCAAGAAGGTACATCTAGAAGTCAGAATTCCACAAAAGACCATTTTAAGCAAAGCTCTCCATGATGCTGCCACACAGCACAAACAGCCAAGAGAGCAGCTCCATCTCCACTACCTGAGATGGGACACTTGATGGGACCACGGCCCTCCACCTCCAGTACAGACACTCAGAGATGCCCCCAAAACCAAACCTGGGTACAAAAGCCTGCAAGTGAAGAGGGGCAGACATCACCAGTGATACTCTGAAGCAGGGACACACTCGGCTGTGCCATACTTCACCATGACATGCTACTGAAAAAAGTATTAATCATTCCCTCTCCATTCCAGCCTAGTTTTGACATAGAAAAGGCATCACCTTTTCTTCTGTTTAAATAACCACCAACAGCCCATTCAGTGTGTCCTGTTCTAGAGTACTGACAGCGCAGTACAGAAACAAAAGGGGGGAAAAAACCCAAAGCAACCCGCAATAAACAGCCTGTTTGGATGGGATGGGTTTTCCATCCCCACCCAAACACAAGCACACCAGATCTGCCAGCTTCCCAAAGGCGCAGGAAGCGGGAAAGGGTTTGCGTGTGTGAGCTTTCCTGTCAGCATCTGTGCCCTGTGCCGGCAGCTCCAGGGTGGGAAGGAGGGATTCGGGGGTTGCAGCACCATGGCATGCACCAGGGCTGGGAGAGGTGACCCTCCTGAGTGGCTTGGGGACCAGCAGGATGGCAACACGGGAGGTCCTGGCTTCTCCATACCCATGCACAGATGCTCCAGACAAGGCGCAGTGCTGGGAAACATGAGCTTGGCCATCACCTTTGCCGTCCTTACCAAAAAGGAGCGCTGACACGGGTGAAGGGAAGATGCTTGGCCACCCCACCAGCAGGATTTGAGGGTTTTTTCCTGCTCTATAAAGCCCCGCACGTTTTCTCTATTGTTTAATTTCCTCCTTCCCCACCCACAGCAAGTTCACTGAGAAGCAAGGAACTTATTTCCTACTGAATCCGTCCTCGTTGTTTTATTTGGAAAAGGACGACTTCCTTGGCTACGGTCCCCGTGTGCAGCCGCGAGCAGCAGGCACGGGGCTGCTCACCTCCCAGTCTGCACCAGCACAGCACCAGTACAAAACACTCCCGAGACTGGAGCAACAAAGATGCTGCTTTGCTGCAGGAAGAGCTGCTGCTTCGAGGCTGTTGGTGACAAAGGAGCATTGCAAGGCACTGCTTCCCAGCCCTGCGAGCATCGGCAGCGGGAAGAACACCAGCCCCACGGTGTGCTGCGGCAGCGGGAAGGGAGAGCCCCTGTGCTGGGATGTGACCGCGGTGCTGGGAGCGAGCACCAGCCTCCATGGGAAGCAAAGCCCATTATCAGTGATGCCCAAAGCTGGCCACGCTGATGCAGCTTCCACACCACCGAGCATCACCGGCTGCCCCATCGCCAGTAAAACCCAACAGATTTGGGGGCAATAATAAACACAGCGATGTCTGAGAGGCCCCGAGTTCACGGGTGGCTGGGGAAATGCATGGACCTTTCCTAGAAGGAAGATACGGCGCTCAACAGTCCAGCCACGCCGCGCTCCATCACACCCGACCTCCTCCAGTCCTTTATGATTCCCCGCTCCCGCCGCGTTCGCTCCGGGAGCGGGGCCGCTTTAGGCCTCGCACCCCACGCCCCGGGTGCCCGTGCTGCGGCGTGGCCTCGGCGGCTCCCCGCCCGCTGCGCGGCCCCGGCCGGCTCCTCCCGCCGGGCACCGGAGGGGACGGGACGGGACGGGACGGCCGGGCTCGGGGGTGAGAAGAGCGGTGGGGCCCGGCCCCCCCGCCGGCCCCGCTCCCCGCCCCAGCCCCAGCCCGGCAGCGTTGCAAGGCCCGGCGGGTCCCGGCCCGCGCTACCGCCCGGCCGCCCTTTGTCTGCGCTCCCGCCGCGGTCGGCCCGTACCTGCCTGCCCGGCCGGGCCCGCTCCCCTCCGCACCGCTCCGCCAGGCCGCCACCGCCCGCTCCGCTCCGCTCGGCACCGCCGGGCCCGGCCCCGCTGAGCGCGTCCCGCCCGCCGCCCCGGCCAGGCACCGCCCCCCGCCCGGCCCGGCCCGGCCCGGCCCGGCCGGCCCCCGGCAGGCCCAGGCCCGGCAGCTCCGCGCTGGGCTCCGTGCCCGGCCGAGCGCAGGGCGGAGAGTGCGGGATGCGGTCCCGCACACAGCGGGGGCGGACCCCCGGGGCTGCCCAGCGCCGCTCCCGGCTGCTCAACCGCGGTGAGAGCCGTGTCCAGCCCCGGTGGTGCCGGGCACACGGCGTGACCATGGGCTGTGCGATAATCCCCCGACGGGAGGGCTCCTTTGATGCCCCGGGCGTGGGGCGTGTACAATGATGCCCCGCGATGCTCACAACAGGTCCCTGCTCTCACGGCTCTTCGCTGGGGCAAGCACCATGAGGTGTCCTGAAGGGTAAAGACCAGGCAGTGTGTTTGGTGCAAGGCGGGTGTGAGGCTGATGCCTCCTACAGAATCCTTTCATCCTTCTCTCAGTGCGCTCTTCGTGTCAGGTTTTGAAGCCTGAGGTTGTCCCCATCCTCCTCCCCATGCACAGAACCCGGGTGTGATTTCACATCTTTTCACCCCTTCCACCTCAAGACAAGCTCAAGGTGCGCATCTGAGTCGTGGCTGGCAGCCCTGCAACCTGCCTGAACACACGTAGAATTCCCTTCATACCTAAGAAAGGGGGAAAACGAGCTTAATGTGGCTCAGCTCTCCTGCCCCTGCTCTCCCCATGGAGGCTGCGAGGGGCTCTGCCGGCATGTAGAGACATGCTCTGGTCCAGGGGAAGGGAGCCTATAACCTAGCAAGAGCTAGCCAGGTCTGCCTCATCACCTGCATGAGGAGGGATGCAGTACATGAAGAAGACCCCATCAGGTTTCATGTCCAGCCCATGGGGACAAGCTTCATGTCCAACCCATGGGGATGAGATATAGCAGAATATCTGCCGGGTTTGGTTTTGGTGGCGCGCTCTGGGACAGCTTCCGACTTAACGGGAGTCGAGGAAGCAATTTCAATCAAATGAAACAGGCAGATAAACAAACAAAAAGCAAAGAAGAAAGGAAGTCGTAGGGAAGGAGACACAAAGAGTCGCAGACAATTATGGCTGCACATTTTCTAACGTGCTCTGAAGCATTCATTGAAGTCAAAGACTTAAACATTTCACTTCCCGCACAAGCCTTTTCTCTGAAGATCTCAGAATATCTTTGCTTATGCCAAAGCTACTGGAAAACTCAGAAAACAAAAAGGGACAAACAGGAAGCTTTTCGGCTGCAAACTGCTGTAAAGGGTATTAAAGGGATTTCTTTTTTCTTCAGCCTTGAATGATTTGCAGACTCAGCCTGAAAATGTATCTGTGGTAGGAAGGGCTTTCTGAGGCCATGCTAACCTCTATCAGAACTCTAGCACAGGAGTTTCATGCACGAATCATCGAGCAAAAAGCCAGCAATGAGTAATTCAAAGGCACGCACCAGACTCCAAGGACAATCTGCAGAATCCACAATCTCCAGCTGTAAACTTTTCCACTGAAGAGTTACTTCTGAGAAAAAAGGAATTTGATGAATTCTTGGCTTGGCTTTTGCTAATACATAGTTTTTTTTTCCAAGAATGAACAGAAGGCTGCTCAGGAAGGCATTGCTATTTATTAATACCAGCTCTGCACTTTACATGAGTATCAGGTAGCAGGGCTTTTCTCCTTGCCTATCTTCTGTTTGCAAACACAAAGGAAACCAGTTCCCTTCCTGCATGCCTCAGCTTCCAGGCTCTTCTTCAGCACATCTGTCAGAAAGAAGTTTAGCAGCTTTCCTCCGCATTGTCTCCAATTTATTAATCAACACTTTCAGCTCCCTACTGAGTTACAGCCAAATTATGGTCCCCTTGAAGTCCATGGCAGCACTTCCACTGGCTTCATTAGGACCAGAAACCAGCTCTTGAAGTCTCTGCCAATTCCTTAAATGCTTTAACTTCATTGTCGGAGATTTTTAATCTCCTTATGCCTGTTTCTGACACATCATTTTACATGTGTGCATGCACAAACTGCCTTTCAGAACTAAAAATGGCCTTAAAAGCAAGTGGAAAAGCTTTCCTTTTTTTTTTTTTTACCTGTGAATGGCTGCATTTGGGGCCCCAATTTCTTTTTGCCAGGGCTACTAGAGGAAAGACGCCATTTCAAGGGGCCCAGAGCTGTTTGAGAGCCAGGACCACAGACCCTGCTTCGTATTAAGTAGACAGCAATGGTTCAGCCTGTTGGGGAGAGTTTTGACCTCTTCCAGCTCCAATCTCTGTTTCAAGGCCACCAGTAAGGCCTCTGGTCTGGTGGTTTGTGGGAACAAGACCCAGGCATGGAAAGAGAGCCAAAATTCCTGTTGTGGGAAGCCTGGAGCAGGGACCTTTGCAGGTCAGGTCAGGCCAGTTGCCTCCCACTGACCCCTCACCAGGACCAGTTCACAGCAGGGCCAAAGCCCAGGCAGGAGAAGAGGTTGGGAGCATCATTCCCATTTGCCTTGCTTCTCCAGCTCCCTTTCTGTTTAGTCACTGGCTGAGTTATGAAATCCGCCTGCAGCGTCACTGTGTCTGTGGGTTTCCCATGGGCTGGAGAGGCTATTACCAAGGAGCAGCTGGAATGTTAATTACCCATTAAGGAACTAAATCTGGGGGATTTCTCAAAGCAAATACACATAATCTCTGGCACTGACCCCACCGTGGCCTGAGCATCCTTCCCATCCAGGACTGAGGATGCAATCCTTGCAGCCCCTGCTGGGTGCCTCCCTTCTAACGCATCCCAGCCAGAGAAGGTCTTCAGTGCTGTCTGCAGCAGCTAGGACAGCCTGGCTGGAGCTGGCACTGGAGCTCTAGGCACATTCTGCAGGCAGACACACAAGGACTGGTGGAAGGCAAAGTAAAAGGAAAGAATTTGTCCTGGATACTGGAGAAAGCCCCATCCCACACAGAGCCTGGAGGGACTGGGAGCAGCCTGCCTCCCAGCTGCTCTGGGGCTGTGGACAGCACTGGATTTTGAATGTTGGGTTGTTTCTATTTAGAAGCTCATCTGGTTATTTCAGCCTGTTACCCCATAAGTGGACGCTTGCCTGTTTCCTTGCTTCTGGCTCGCATCTGTCCCTGGGGAACATCTGAGGCTGGTGCAAGGCAGAGGATCCTTACAGCCTGCCCTGCACACGTGGCTCCTTGGGGAGAGAAGGAGCCCAGGCTGCTCACACAGCCTTCACCGTCCCCAAACTCCTTATCAGATGGGTCACCCACAGCCATATACATGGCCTGATGCAGGGTGACCTCTGCAGCACTCGCCTGCTGCTAACTCCTTCCTTCCCCCTCCCTTCAAATCAGGCCACAGGCTGTGTCACTGGAGCCTCCGGCTGGAATTACAGCGCTCCTGCCAATGTATATTTTAAAAGCCTCTCCTTCAATATTTAAACAGGAAGATCCCTGTCTGCTAATGAAGAGAGGAGCAGGTGAAGGTGGCCCATGGGGTCAAGCCAGGTGTTACAGTGGGCACAGAGAGCTTTCCTGGGGAAGAAGCGCAACACGTGGGGAGCAGGGAGCTCTTCTCCCGGGTGGCAGCTGGGAGGTTTGCAACCTGCAGACACCTGCGATGCCTGGCCAGAGAAAGGAAAAGGTACCCCAAAAGACGTCAGCCTTGTTCACACAGGGATCCCCCCTATAAACACTCAGCACCCCAGAGCTGTGGAGCTGATTGATGGTGCGAGAAGGGGGTCAGAAGTTTCCCACAGGGCAGCAGCAAATGCTGTCAGTCAGGCAGAGGTGCTGCAGATGTTTGCCGGCTTTTGGACAGTGCAGCTTTGCTACGGGGCCATTATAAGGAGCCTCCCTCGTGCATCTGCTCCCCTGCGGCTGGATCAGCTCTGATTGCAGCTCCTGGGTGCAGATCGGAACCTGTCGGCTTTCCCCACCCGTGCAGGCACCCACAGGCGTGCTCCCCGCCTGTCACTCACAACCCAGACCCACGTGGCACCGAGCCCACTGAGCGCAGGGGTGAGGCGTCTGAAGCAGGGCAGTTCCAGGACCAGGAAGTGGATGTAAAGTCTCCGCTCTGTAAGGTCTGGTTCAATCTACCTTTTTCCAAAGGTCTTTGATGTTTCCCACCTTGACTCTCCTGAATGCTTTTAAAATCATTTGGAAACAGAAAACATTCTCTTACTGGACAACCTTAATGTAAAACTTTACAAATGTATATTGTTTGCTGGAGAGGTGGAACAGATCTCCCAATGACTGCTCTGGGAGGGCAGTCCCGGCACCATTGCTCGCAGCTGGAGAGCCCACAGGGAATGACGGGTTGGAATCTCTCCCATTAGTTCCTTAACAGAAAATACTCCACTTCTGTGTCTTAAACCCACCGCATACATCCCCTTACGGGGAAAATCCCAAACACCTCCTCGCTGTCAGGGCTCCTGCCTGAGCTCAGGGCAGGGACAAGCGGCTGCCTGGAACCCTGACAGCAGAGGGGGAAGGCTTGTGTCGCAGCTGAGTCCGGTCAGTGCGGACTGCGGCAGCGTGCTGGCATTAGAGTGGTTTTCATCGTTGTTTTTAAACCGGTTCAGGCCTGCGTTTCCGAAGCACTCCCGGCAGGGCTCTGTTAGCACCACACGCACCGCCGCCATCTTTGGGAGGGACGCGGAGGACGGAGGATGTCGCCATCTTGGGAAGGGACATCGGAACGTGGCCGCCGCCATCTTGGGAAGGGACATCGGAACGTGGCCGCCGCCATCTTGAGAAGGGACCCTTCGGGAGGCGGCCGCACCGTCTTGGGGAGGACAACCGGCCCGGTTTTCCCCGGTAGCGCCGGTTACGGTGTCAAGGGACCGGCGGGGCCGGCAGCGGGGCAAAGTCCTGCCCGTGCCATTGGGAAACGCCGTTCCCCAGCGCCATCTTGCCGCTTCCCGCCATCACTTCCGGGTGAGCGGCGGTGACTTCCGTCTCCTGAGAGCACCACTTCCTTTGCAGCGGCGGCCGCCGGAGCAGAGGCGCAGGTGAGAGGGGCCCCGAGCGCATCCGCCGCCATCCGCCCGCCCGCGCCTCGCCGCGGCTTCCCCGCCCGGGGCTCGCCTCCGGGGGCCCGGGGCTCCGCGGGTGTAGCGCGGATGGCGCTGGGGGAGCGCACCCGAAGGAGCGCGGCGCTAGGCCGCGGGCGAGCCGGGGGCTGGAGGAGCTGCTGGGCCTGGTGCAGTGGAGGAGCGGGAGGCCCGCGGGCTGTGCGCGGTGGAGGCAGCGGGAGGCGGCTGCGGCCCGGCCCTGAGAGGCCGGGGCTGTCCCTGCTGCGGGCCCGGGTGAGCGCTGGAGAGCAGCGGGTTCCTAGCACCGAGGTCAGTGTTGGCTGCACCGCGCCCGCGGCTCAGCGGCTGCACAGTTGTGTGTCCCTGGGGTTCACAGCTGGAGCCTTTTGCTGGGTGAGGGCAGAGGATGTGGCTGTCCGAGTGGCTGTGTAAGCCTTGGTTTAACAGTCGGTGCTCAGTGCGGGTTGCTGTGCAGAGAGCACCATCGGGCTAAAGCCTGTGGGTGAAAGTAGGTCGTGCTTGGATGGAGTTCCTTAATGAAGCCATTAGGCTTTCCTCATGTGCGAGGCGCTGGTTGTAGCTGGTATGTGGCAGGAGAGGGCAATAGGGAACCATCTTCCTGTGCTCGGGAGCAGATACACGGGCTCCTGAGCCACCCAGCCAAGCCCTCTTGAGTGCCGCGTCTTCTATAGCTGGGTTTGGGCTTCAGAGCGAAGACATACCTGGGTTAGTGCCAAGGATGTGGTCAGGACACCAATAACAGAGAAGAATCCAAGCTAGTATTTGAAAGGTCTGCAGATCCAGAGCTTTGTGACAGTACCCGGGGCTTTAATAATTGTCTGGTTAGGTGTTTCCTATAGGCACGAACAAGCAAGGGGAAGCGCTCAGTAGTGCTGGTTATCAGGGAGAGGGTCTCGTGCTCTGGGGACAATCGGTTGCATGAAGCACAGCCTAGGTACCTCCTGTTCTGAAGGGCAGCAGGAAGGACACCACTGAACAGTTGTGGGTGGTGACCTCTCTGGCAGCATACAGCAAAGCTGGGAGCCTTGGATTTTGTAAGCCCTCTTGTACCCCAGATTGCTACCTGTGTTTTGCCAGTAGTAACATATCTTGCTTGGTAGAGGGTTGCAGTAGCAGGGAATTCAATAAAATCCTGTAGGAGGGTGCTGAGAAATCCACCACCGCTCATACTTCTCTTCTGTTGTTCAGAAATGGCACCTCGTAAGGGCAAGGAGAAGAAGGAAGAGCAGGTCATCAGCTTGGGACCTCAGGTTGCTGAAGGAGAAAACGTGTTCGGTGTCTGCCATATCTTTGCTTCCTTCAATGACACTTTTGTCCACGTGACTGACCTCTCTGGCAAGTGAGTATTGACCACCCATGGCCTTGCTGCAGACCCTGGGTCCTTCAGTTTTGAACACAGAAATGAGATTTGGGTAGAGGTTCCACCAAAGCCTTTGAGCTTTCTCCTAAACTTCCCCTTTGCCTTTTGTAGGGAAACCATCTGCCGGGTGACTGGTGGCATGAAGGTGAAGGCAGACAGAGATGAGTCTTCTCCCTACGCGGCTATGCTGGCGGCCCAGGATGTTGCCCAGAGGTGCAAGGAGCTGGGCATCACTGCCCTGCACATCAAGCTGCGTGCTACCGGTGGAAATAGGTGTGTTGGCTGGATGTGGCATGGTCTTAGAACCAGAACCACAGCCTTTCTTCGTGCTGCCTCAGTTGGTAACGTGAGTGCAGTCTGTGAGCTTGACTTCAGACTTGACCCAAAGGATGCCTGTCGCTTTGTGTGGTGACTGGCTGATGTCACCCATTCTGAACCCGTTCTGAATGGCTTCTCCAGTTGACTGGCGCAGGGGTGTGCTCTTATTTGGTAGCGGATGGGAAGGTGTTTGGAATGACATTGCAGTGCCTGTCTAGTGGTTGGTTGTGAAGGATTTGGGTCTGAGGACCTGGATGTTTTGGGATGGGGAAGCTGATTTTAACACCGTGAGCTGTGTCCAGCTTCTGGATCATTTAAGGGATTATTGGTTTTGGTTCTCCAGGACCAAGACTCCCGGACCTGGTGCCCAGTCAGCCCTGAGAGCTCTGGCCCGATCTGGAATGAAGATTGGTCGCATTGGTGAGTGATGGAGAAAGCAATACCTAGATGTGTTCGTTATGGTGCAGAGCCTTGCTACTTCAGAAAAAAAAAAACAAACCAGTTTTGAGGGATTATTTAGTAAAAAGAGCTTTACAGGCACATGTGCCACTCGGTTTGATGATTTAACGTTGGGATGTTTTCTTGGCCTCTCTCAGATGGCACTGAAGGTGTGATTTAATTTAAACAGATTCTTAAGGGTATGATTCACCAGGAGGCGGCGTGAGCAGGCTTCAGAAACAAGTTTCTGTCTGCAGGATAAACCCCAGCTGCACAGCAGGGTGCTCATGGGCCTCTGCTGGAGCAGTGCTTGTGCCAGCGCTGTTCAGTCACCTGGAAATACTGTGCTGGTCTCGGTTTAATCCTCTGAGTCAGTACTAGTGGAGTTCCAGCTGTCCAGGGAATGTCCCAATTTGCTTTGGGTGGTTGTGGGAAGCAGTGGTGTTGGCTGCTCTAAAAGTTACATCAAGCACCCTCTGTTTCTTTGGAAGTGCTGTGGCTGCTCAGTTTAAGTAGGATGGGAGAGGGGGATTTTTGCTTCTGCAGCATTAAAAGTCCTTTATGAGCTCAGAGATAGCTTTTTGCCTGTGGAGTGTTCATTCTGCCTGTGCATGGCCTCTGTACCCAGAGGGTGTAGCCGTGGGGTGTTGTGGTTTAAGCACAGATGGTAACTAAGCACCTCACCACTGCTCACTTGCTTCCACCCCTGGTGGGATGGGGAGAATGAAAAGGTAAAACCCATGGGTTGAGATGAGAACAGTTTAGTAATTGAAATTAAGTTAAAATGACCCAGCTGAAACCAGGTCACAGAGTGTGTGGTGGGGTTGGGTGTCTCTGGTGTGCCCAGTTGGTTTCCTGGGGTACCTCTGGAAGGTAACAGTGTGGTTCTTTGTTTCTTCTCCCTGCAGAGGATGTCACCCCCATCCCCTCTGATAGCACTCGCAGGAAGGGTGGTCGCCGTGGACGTCGTCTGTGAACAGTGCTGCACCTTTGCTTATTAAAACTCTCTTTTAAACCTCTTCTCCACTGTTTCTTATTGAGGCATGCTCAGAAGTTGAGTGGCTTCAGTTTAATTACATGCACAAATGGCTCATGCTCTTGGGGCTGGCCTGGTTTGGCTGGGGATGGTTAGTGCTGCTGAGGAGGTGCTCTTGATTATACATGGAAAGCTTCTAAAAGCACTGGAATTACAGCTCCCTTGGCAGCTCTGTTTATGTATTTATACTTGCAGGGGTGTTTAAGAAAATGACTCCTTACTTCTTAGGCACTGCTCTTTACTTCCATGGAATGTGCTGCCATCACCTGGAATAAGTGCCCAGATCCACCTTGGCCAGTGTTGTAGCTCTCTAGGCTTTGAGACTGTTCCTGTCACTTCTTCAGATGTGACAAAATCTTAGACCAAGATTCACAGGTATGCAGTACTTGAAAGCTGCAGATTGAGATTGGTGGGTTCTGTGTGCCTGTGGGTAAAATAGCTGTGGCTTTACAGCTCGAGGGAGAGATGACACTGTCATTTGCAGTAGTCATTTGTACCTCCTGTGCAATAGTGAGGTCAGCCCTTGCACAGAGCCCCGCTTGTTTGGTCATGAATCCCAGTCTCCTCACAGTGCAGTGTGCTGTAGTCAGGTTTGTGTCAAGGCGGCTACAGCTCGTCCAGCTTTGGCTCCTTGGTTGTGGTTGTGGGCTCTTAGCAGTGAGTGAGCTCATGTGGAGCTGGAGAAATGTTTGTGCAGGAATACTTGTGGTCAGGTTTAAGTGATGGTTATTTATCAGAATTGGTTGAAAAACAAGGATTCTTAGCAGTTGCATGGCAAATAGGAACAGTTTATACATGATGTGTGACCTGCGAAGTGAAGCCGAGAGGCAGTATTCTGATATCCTGGGCTCTTGGACAAAGTATCCCCTCAGGTCTTCCCTGTGAGGGTGCTGAGGCGCTGGCACAGGGTGCCCAGAGAAGCTGTGGCTGCCCCATCCCTGGCAGTGTCCAAGGCCAAGTTGGACACAGGGGCTTGGAGCAAGCTGCTCTAGTGGAAGGTGTCCCTGCCCATGGCAGGGGTTGGAGCTGGATGAGCTTTAAGGTCCCTTCCAACCCAAGCTATTCTATGATCCCAAGGCTTGAGGACCTCATCCCTTTCATGTGGGCTCCTTCCCACATCTTTGCATCTCCAAATGCTTTGGAAGGGATTCTTTTGCCTGCCTGATCCTCCTGATCCTCCCTCCCTCACAGGAAGGGTGCTGTGGCTGATGGTGGTGGTGCTCTGCTCTCAAAGCAGTCTCTGTTCTGGTGCAGTTACTCAGCCTGGGTTGGATCCAGGCTGTGTTGCTCCTGTCAAGC